ACACCCCCAGGGAAACTCCCTTTCAACTAATTGGCTACTCACAGCAGATCCTATCATGGAAGTGATCACATTACATCAGATCTCATCATGGAGATGATTACATTATTACACCAACATCGAACTACATCATAGCTGTCAAATCACTGAGAATCATGGCCATGTCAAGTTGACACACAGCCTTTTGAAAAGTCAGCCATTGAACACCCCAGGAGGCACAGTTTTACTCTGACACACATGAGGTTTCCTTGAGTAGGAATCGACTCAACAACAACTGGCTGGTCATATTCAGAGTTTATAAGTACAATGCAGTTGTGAAGCGGAAGGACCCTCTAGGTAACCAGAGAAGTTACCAAGTCCTGGAACCTCCCTTATCTTAGAGGATCATTTAGAACTGACTGACATTTAGACATAATCGTAAGAGGTTCACTTAGGCTAAAATAGATCAAAAGAATGAAAATGTAATAAGAATTCCTTACAGAAAGAAAGTATAAAACTAACTAACCAACCAACCACCTAACTAAACAACAAAGGTTATACCTTTACATGTCCTATAAACTATAAAGTTCAGATATGAGAATAAAGTAGTATTTTTTTTATACAACTAAGGAGATCTCAGCTTTAGAGATGGAAGGAACTCTTTGTAACGGAGGCAAGGGGCCAAGCCTTTAGAATTCGTTAGATCTCGGTTTGAGCCCTTACTAGCTGGGTAACCTTCAGCATTTTATTTAACTTCTCTGAACCTCAGTTTTCTCATCCATAAAACTGGAGCAGTTTGCAGAGTGAGATGATTAGTAATTAACTAGATAATCGCAAGGCCTCAATCATTGCACTAGAGCTCCTTAGAGATATTGGTCCCCTTCCGCCTGACAGCACAGTTTGTTTACAGTAAGGACCCCAGGCCATCGAGAAAACACGGTTAATAGTGAGTAGCAGTGTAGCAGGGAAACACTTGATGTATTTTAGAAAATTTAATGATTGAAGGGTCTAATTAATACAAAAAAAAAAAGTGCTATTTTAGGAAGGTAAAATAATTATGGAGCAATTATATGAAAAATTAGATTACTTGGTATGAGTCTTTGATAGTAAGCCACAGGAATATGTTATTAGTGGGTCCTCATGTGTTGGATATTTATTAATAAAATAGAAAGAACTCAGTTATATCTTGCAACAATAAAACATTTCTAATCTCACTTATTTCCCATAAATATCCTAAAGGAAGGTATTTCCAAGGCCCCTATTAAAGATGAGAAAATTGAGGTTCGGGGCCGTGACAGAACTTGCCCAATGCTGCCAGGGTGTGTACCGGGTGATCTCTGCATTGCTTGTACCAGGTGGCTGGTAAAAGCTGCCGAGTCCCTAAGGGGTAAAAGGGTGTGACCAGGTCCCCAAGAGGAATTTCCTCTTCCTTCCCAGCACTTATACGGGACTGGGGCTGCCCATGGGGATGGAATTCCCTGACCCCAAACTCTTCCCTAAACTAACACACTCAGAGCTAGTCGCCTGCCTTCTGCTGTGTGTGGTCATCGTCTCCCAGGTGTGAATTTTTATAGGTGGGGGTGGGTTGTTGTTAAGCGCCGTTGAGTCGGTCCCGACTCATAGTGACCCCACATACAAGAGAACGAAACACTGCCTGGTTCCAAGCCATCCTCACCATCACTGCTATTTTACTTAGGGCCTTTAAACCAAAACCAAACCCGTTGTCCTCGAGTTAGTTCCTACTCATAACGACCCTACTGGACAGAATAGAACTGCTCCACAGGGCTTCCAAGGAGCAGCTGGTGCATTTGAACTGCTGACCTTTTGGTTAGCAGCTGAGCTCTTAGCCACTGAACCACCAGGGCTTCTTAAGGCCTTTAAATTTTTAATTAAAAGTTTTGCCCTTTATTAAGGTAATAGATGGTTTTTGTGCAAAAATTTTTAAAAAGAGAGGAAAA